AAGGGATCACTTACACTGTTGGTAAGAGTGTAAACTAGTACAACCTCTGTGGAAAATAGTGCGGTGATTCCTAAAAGATAAAAAAAAATTGACCTTCCATATGACCTAGCAATCCCCCTTCTGGAAATATTTCCGAAGGAACTCAAATCACTCTATGAAAAAGATACCTGCACACTCAAGTTTATTGCTGTTTATTGCAGTGTTATTCACAATGCAAAAGTATGGAACCAACTGTGCTGCCCTTCTAATGTGGACTGGATAAAAAAAATATGGTACCTATATACAATGGAATATTATGCAGCCATAAAGAAGGATAAAATTATGAACTTCACTGAAACTTGGATGAATTTAGAGTCTATGATATTCAGTAATCTATCACAGAAATGAGCTGAGTACCACATGCTGTCACATATAAGTGGACCCTGAACAATGATCATAATACTGTAAGAAAGGAATTGGCAGTAGTGTGAAAATGCCAAGGGAGTTGGGGGCACTCCATCAATAAGTGTACCTGATCTCAAATCAGGCAAAGTGAGGACCAAAGTGAGGCCCAAGCTCTACATGTACAATGACCATTTATATACCTAATACTGAATTGTATCCCACATCTTTATAATAATATTTAAAAATCCAAAAATCCATCCCCCTAAAAAAATAAAAACCATTTTTTGAATGTTTACTAGAACTCAGTCTGTGAAGTCATTTACACAGGTGCTTTCTGTATGAGAAGTTTTTTTTTTTAATTCCTATTTTATTTCATTCACAGTCATGTGATCACTTAAATTCTATTTCTTATTGATTCTGTTTTGATAAATTATTTCATTATTTTCTAAATTTTTGTTTTTGATTTTTTTAAAAAAGAATTTTGCCCAGGTTTGTTAATTTTGTTAGTTTTTTATAGAATATTTGTGGTTTTTTTGATCCCCTGTTTTATCATTGCCTTACAGCTCATTAATTTTCATTCTAATGTGTATTATTTCATTATTTTTACTTTCCGAGTTTCTGGTGATCTTTTCTTTCTCAATACTTACATTTTCTTGTTTTCTTATAAAACACAGGCCATAAATATCCCTTGAAGTACTACTTTAGCTACATGCCATAAGTTTCTTAAATTGTTTCTTATACAGCTCAGCTTTACGTATAATTTCCATTATAATATTTTTGAACAAAGGATTTCTTGAAGTATAATTTTCAAAATTTTTCATGACTTTTGCTATTATTGTGCTTAGTGGTCCACATACTCACAGTTGTTTGAAATTTGTTTAGAAATGGTCTAGAATGTCTGTTTTCTAATGATTAGGTCCTGTATTCATTAAAGTATGCTTGTTAATGGTGATGTTCTAATAGTCTTTATTCTTTCTCATTTTTATCTGCTTAATTCTTTAAATGGTGATGTATTAAATTATTTTACTATGATATTTCCTTTTTTTTTTTTTTTTTTGAGTTGGAGTCTCACTCTGTCACCCAGACTAGAGTGCAATGGCCGCTCCCGGCCACCACAGCAGCCTCGACCTGCTGGGCTCCGGCAATCCTTCCTCCTCAGCCTTCCAAGTAGCTGGAACTACAGGCGCGCGCTACCACACCCGGCTAATTTTTTTATTTATTGTAGACATGAGATCTCACCAAGTTGCCCAGGTGGGTCCGAACCCACGGGCTCAGGCATTCACCTCGGCCTCCCAAAGTACTGGGATTACAGGCTGAGCCATCGAGCCCAGCCCTTCTATGATATTTCATTTGTAAATTTTTTCCTTGTGGTAGTTTTATTTTTTTTTATACTAACTCAATGTTCACAAATTTAGAATGCTTAAATTTTCCTGATGGAATAGATTTTTTTTAACAATATACAGTAACCATAAATATGTAGTAATCTTTTTATTCCTTAAAGTTCATTTTGTGTGATATTAATAGAGTCCCACAAGTTTTCTTTTGGTTAGTATTTTTCGAGTATATTCATTTTTAAACAATATTTTATCCAATCTGATTTGCTTTCCATTGTAAATGCATGTCATTTCAGAGACATTAATATGTAAGAAAATGGATTGACAGCAATAGTAAGATGCCATCAGTTGCAAGCTGTACCATGATTTTAGATATGTTAATATGAGGGGGGACCCCAAAAAATCCAGAATTTATTTATTAAAAAACTGCATATTTATTCTTGCATGTTTAAACTTCAGTTATCTTCTAAACACTCTCTGATGTAGTATGCCTGTTGGGACGCTTTTACCACTGCTCAAAACAGTATTTGAACTTGTCACATTTGATGCTTTTTATGCCTTTGAGTACTTCTGCAATTTTTTTGTTTCGCCTCTTCACAACAGCAAAATGTTTCACTTTGAGGACTTTTTTCTTCTGTAGAAACAAAAGAAAAGTTGCTCAGGACGAGATCAGGTGAATAGGGAGGGTGGGGCATGGGGGTCATGCCATTTTTGTTAAAAAACTGCTGAACACTCAGCCCAGTGCGAGCAGGTACACTCATAAATCACCCATCACAAAATGGGCAAACACATTTAAAGAATCTCAAAAGAAAAAAAGAAAGAATTCACTGAAGCTGAATGAATGTAGCCTCTCACACAATGCTAGCTGGTACACTGATGCCGGTGTTTCCTAGAACACTTACCTAGTGGGGGAAGCCTATACTATAAGGGGCCTGCCCTCCAAAAGATAATTCTGGGTTTTATTGGGTTCCTCCATATGTGAAAAATATATACTACAAATTTATGAAATGTGGTGCTTTTAACCTTTCTGTGTCCTCATGTTTTTCGATATGCTTTTTTAAAAAATGATACTTAACTGGAATTTAAAAAATCTTCTTTGAGGTGCTTAGCATATTTGTTGACATGTTTGGATTTATATCTACTATTACTTTTTTTTACTACTTTTTTGCATTGCTTTTTCTGTCCTTTCTTCTTTCTTGCCTTTTTAAAAATGTCTATTTTTCCCCACTTTATTCTTCAAGTAGTTCAATAGTTATGTATTCTACTTCTCTTCTTTTACTGGTACTCCATTAATTTTAATATGTAGATTTAAAATTTAACAAAGTCTAAAGTTAATATGTTTACCACCCATTTAAATAAATGAGGTTCTTACATTTCTTTAATTCTAATCATTTTCTTCTCAACATATGCTTTTGCTATCTAGAATTTTATATCTGTCATTGAATTACTTAAAATTTCACAAAGGTAGGCATCATTACTATCTCTTACTCGAAATATTTCTTTAGGCTTATCCATATATTTACTATTTTCTCTGCTTACTGTTCCTTCTTGCAAAACAAACCTTACTTATTGGATCATTTTCCTATTTCTTGAATTATGATCATTGGAAGTTGTTTTGGTGGGGATTTGTTGACACATCTCTTAGGTTTCAGTTTTCTGAAAATACCGCTCTCATTTAGGGAAGATAATTTTCCTAATACACTATCCTAGTATGGAAGTTATTCTTTCTTAGTATTTTGAAAATACTTAATAAATATTAAGTGTTTTTATGTCTGCCTTCCATTTTACTACTTCTTCAGTTGTATCAGATTTTTAGCTTATCCATTTATTTTAAATGTCTAATGCCCTTTAAAAAAAAAAAAAGTTGTTTGGCTAATTTTCAAAGCTGGAACTTGACTATCAGCCACTACTTTTTTCTCTTTTCCACCAAAAACCATGGCTGTGACAGGCAAATTTTGTTTGGTATTTGTCTGTTTATTGGTTTGTTTCTAGATCACTGACTGAGTACATCTCTTTGGTCAGAATTTTCTTTACACGGGGGTCTCTGATTCAAATTTGCAGCATGCTTGAACCTCAGATTCAGAATCCCAACAGTTGCAAACATATATCACAGAGGATGAAGTATATAATGTCTTTCTTTGGGCTTGTGATATTTTATAACATTATATATAAGTTAAGCTATGAAATTATAATTTCTGATGATTTATTTTGGTTCATATTTTCTTTGTATTTCCCATCTCTTCACTTTTACTTGTTTGGTATTCATGTGTATCTTATAGACAACTTATTGTTTATTTTAACTGAACCTAAGTATCTATCTTTGGGTGTTGAGTTTAATTCATTTAAATATTTTATAATTACTTTTGTATTATGGCTTATTTCTGTCATCTCAATTTTGGTTTTAAATTTTCTGTGGTAGGTTTTTTTTCTTTATTGAGACAAATCATAGTTTATTTTAATCCTGCGAAAATTATACAGACTATTTTTATGTTCTATTTCTTATCTATTAATATCATTGCTTGTATTCTATTTATTTCCCTGTTTTTCTGTAAGTATATTGATATTGATACTTTTCTTCTGAATTGAATAGTCTTAGCATACTTTTCTCTCCATCTAGTTTCTCTTCTCCCTTTTTTTTTCCATCTTGTTCTCTGCTCCTCTGCCATACATATGTCTTGAGGAACCTCATTTTTTAAATGGACTGAGATGGATGTCCTCCCTGCTCTACCTCTACCTCTCCTTCTTTCCCCCAATAGGAATACTTAAGAGTGACTGGTTCTTCTGAACCTGTTGTTACCTTTTCCTTGCCAAAGCTTAGCTGACCCTGAACACTACCCTGTGGTATACCCCACTGGCATTAGCAGGTAGTGCTGTTTTACTGCCTTGCAGTAGAGATTGGACAGGCAGTGATCACCTCAAGCAGTGAAAAGAGCCCATCTAGAAAGCTCTTCCCAGCACATCCAGAGTTTCTGGTTCTCTTCTCTACAAATCTTTTTTCTCTCCTTTGGGTGTTCTCGCGGTTTTTATGTTAATTTCTTAAATCTGTAAATCTCACTTGAACTTCTATAGCATCTCTAGGTTTGGTTTAATGAGAGGGAGTCAGCAGCCTATGCTAGCTTGCTACTTTTTCAAGAAGCTAAAGTCTTTATAATAGTATTATAGCAATTCTTTACTTAGTGCTAAGTATTCTGGAATTTATTCACCAGTAGCTTACAAATAAAAAATGGTTTAAGAATCAAAATGGAACATACTAACTTTTTTTTTTAATTTTGTTCTTCCCAGTTCTGATAGTATCAGCAGTGATGAGGAGGAACTAAGGACTTTGGGAAGCAGTGGTAGTGAAAGCAGTACTCCAGAGAATGTCGGACCTCCTTTCATCACAGATGAGAACTGTTGGTTCAACAAGTGTAAGAGAGTTAAACAAAAGTATCAGCTTACGTTGGAACAGAAGGTATTTAAAAATTGTCAAAATCACTAAATTTGATTCTATGTACTGCCTTTGGACTGCCACTGTCAAAAGTTTTTTTAATTGAATAAAATTATTTAACCATTGCTTCTTCTCTTCTGTTCCTGAATTGTCCTCCTTTTAATAAAAATTGAACAGTTAGAAGAAAGACTTTTGTTTGTTAAACTTTTTATAATTTTCTATGTTAATATAAAAGCAATTTAATTTCTATGTTTGAGATTTTAGTTTCTAATTGTATAAAATAGTGTTGGTTTGTAAAAATGCAGTAATTACCTAAACATATATAAGTTAATTTTTAATTTTAATTTTTTAAAAAATTAGATATTTTGGCAGCTTTTGTGTGTTAAGTACTGTACTAGACACAAGGTGCAGTAAAGGAAGAGTTGAGGAATTTGTAATTGTTACTTTTTTTACTGTATTTTCTATTTTACCTTCTTCCCTTCCTTCAAACTTATCATGGTTCATAGATTTTAAATATATATATATATATATATATATATATATATATATATATACAGAAAACCCAATGGAATTAGCAACAGGAATATTAGAAAAATTTAAAATGTATTGTGGAAAGTTGTTGTAAAATAATTGTAAAATATGAACAAAGTTCCTGTGTACAAGCAGCTACTGCTTAGGAAATATAAAGGACAGTACTCTGATTATAATGGTTATAAAAATTTGTATAATCCATATGAAGAAAACTTTCATAATCTATTAAAGGAGGCTTCTGGTACCAGCAAGAAGTAAGACTAAGATAATTGGAAAGCCTTTCCATTGTAAAAGTCTGAAAATGCTGAGTAGACTGCAGTTTAAAAAAAAATTATGCAGAGCTGATCTCTCAAAGAAAAATAACTTATTAGGCATCAGAAACATAGAAAACCTGAAAACAAGAGGAATAAGTGTGTAAATTAATACTATAGGTCCCATGGGTGAGGGTAAGGGAATAATCCCTTAACCTAGGAACTTGTGTTTTAATATCAACAGGGAAGCAGCAGATTTAGGCCCCCATCATTCAAGATGGAAACCAAACCTAGAAGACAGGAGTGAGATGCAAAATGGCAGAGTAAGCAAAGAGATTGGTAAATAAACCTTGATCATGTGAAACAGCAAGAAAAATGACCAATATGGGTGACAGTAGTGTGCTGATATGATTAATTGACTCTTACAGAGGAGATGGAGAGAGGAACCCTGATTTGTAGCATTTACCAATTTCTCTGGGGCAAATACTCCTCTTATGGCTAATTTAAAACCACCAATATGACATGACTGAATGCAGAATTGGGAAGAGATGCACAGTAGAATGCCATGCCATAGTGTTTCTATTATATAGACAAAATACAAATAAATGACTGTAAGAACATAGATAATGGTAAGATATAGTTAAAAAATTAGAAAGTTAAGTGTTTTTGGTAGTTATTATCTTTTTAAAATATAGTTTACTTAGTTGCAAATGTATACAGCTTAATTTTTAATAATAGCAGTGTTTAACTAGTGACTTAAATTTGTGAAAATTTAGCAGTCAGCTCTTAAGAGCCTATAAGCTGGCTACAGGTCACGACAGGGATTGTGAAAGCAGATAAAAACTACAACACAATATCAGAAAGAGTGAGAGATGCCAATTGAAGGTGAAGTCTTTGTATTTTAGTAAAGGGGAGTAGAAATTTTTTTAAAAATGTGTATGTCTATTTTGAAAGTTTACATTTGGGAATTGCAATTAAGAGAATAGAAGTAGAGTGTTTAACTTTAAAACTAACAGAAAGAAAGAAAAGAAACATGGAACACTTGATCAATACAATAGAAGGGAAAAACAGGATGGTGAAAAAAGAACACAAAATAAGGTGGTAGTAATAACACCAAATACAGCCAGAAGAGTCAACATCACCATAAAATAAATGGCATAAACTTGCCTGCAAAGATAAATTCTTAGATTTATTTATTTAAATTTAATAATTGCAAAATTTAGCTATATGCTACTGAGACACAGTAAAAAGCTAATGACACAAAAAAGTTGAAACTAAGGAGATATACTAGGCAAATACTAATCAAAAGAATTCTATATCAATATCATTAAACATAGACATTAAGGCAAAAAAGCATTATTAAGTCTAAACGACATTGTCTTTTTTTTAAAAAAGAAACAATTTAGCATGAATATATGACAGTGTTGAATTTATATACATTTAGCATCATAGCCATGAAAAATATGAAGCAAACATTTCTAAAATGTCCAGGAGAAATCGATAAATCTGTGATTCTGTAGGAAACTTTAATATCTTTCAGAGTAATTTACAAATTGAACAGGCGAAAAATTAGGATGTGGTGAACTTCAGCAGCACAATAAATACATTTCTCTAACATATATTAAATGTTGGCAATTAGAATACACAATCTTTTCAAGCATACTTGGAAGAGGGCTTTCCAATTTTTATGGAGCATGCTGGGGCACAAAACAAATGCTAAAGAAATGATATAATAGTGATTACAATGCAGTAAAGTTACACATCAGTACAAAAAGCTTCCCACCACCCACATACCACCCAAGAAATTAAAAAAAAAAACAACTTCTAAACTATGAGTCAAAGAAATGAGGAAATATAGGACTTAGAAATGATTGTAAATGAAAACAATGCATACTGAATAGTTGTAAGTTGCAATTTGTGCAGTACTTGTAGAAGTACTTAACTTAGAAAAGAATGAAAATGTAAAGAACTAAGTATCCAAGAGGTAGGCAAAGAACAACTAAACCACTTCAAAAGAAGGAAAAAACAGATATTGATGAAACAAAAACAAAGACACAGAATTAACAAAAACAAAAGCAGATTATTTACAAAAACTATTGAATAGACAAATCCTAGCAAGAATTAAATTTTGTTTTTAATTAAGGCACAGATAGACAATGTTAAGAATGAAAAGATAATAGACTGAATAGCTATAAATGCAGCAGAGACCCTCCCAGCAATTATTAGATTATATTTTAACAAGTTTATGATAATACCTTAAACCTAAATAAAGAATTTTTTATAAATATTACTTGTCAAAACTTAGATACCTATAGTGATTTAATATTGAATAAGTAGTTTAAAATCTGTCCACTCTCCCACCAAAAACACTATTAGACTTGTGGGGTTTTGGAGGTAGACCTACCAAATACAGTCATGCATCACATAGTGATGTGCTAGTCAATAGCAAACCACATATATGATGGTGGTTCCATAAGTGTATAATGGAGCTGAAAAATTCCCACTGCCTAGTAACGTCATTACCATGGTGATACTATAGCACATGTATTACTCATGTGTTTGTGGTGATGCTGGTGTAAACAAATCTACTACACTGCCAGCCATATAAAAGTATAGCACATACAATTATGGACAGTACTTGATAATGATAATAAAAGACTATTATACTGGTTTATGTATTTATTATGCCTTTTATTATTATTTTAGAGTGTACTTCTACTTGTTTAAAAGTTAACTATAAATAGCCTCAGGCAGGTTATTCAGGAGGTATTCCAGAAGAAGGCATTGTTATCATAGGAGATGACAGAGCCATACGTATTATTGCCCTTTAAAGACCTTCCACTGGGACAAGATGTGGAGGTAGAAGACAGTAGCATTGATGATCCTTACCCTGTATATACCTAAGCTAATTTGTGTGTTTTTGTCTAAGTATTTTTTTTAATGTTTAATTTTTTTATTTTAAAAATGGGTACAATTCAGGATTAGGTATACAAGTGGTCATTGTACAGGTAAAATTTGGGCCTCCCTTAGGTCCCCACTTCGCCTGGTTTGAAATCAGGTACCATTATTGATGTTGTGTCTCCCCAAACCCAGCAATATTCCGCTACTGCCAATACCTTTCTTACAGTATTATGGTAAATGTTCAGGGTCCACTTATGAGTGAGAACATGTGGCATCATTCTTTGTTTCCGTGATAGATCACTGAGTATGATAGACTCTAAATCCATTCAAGTTACTGCAAAGTCCATATGTTTGTCCTTCTTTATGACTGTGCAATATTCCATCATGTATATGTACACATTTTTTTATCCAGTTCGGTTTTAATGGGCAGCACAGTTGGTTCCATGTTTTCGCTATTGTGAATAGTGCTGCAATAAATATGTGTGTGCAGGTATCTTTTTTGCAGAATGGTTTGAGTTCCTCTGGGTATATTCTCAGTAGGGGGGTTGCTGGGTCATATAGAAGGTCAATGTCTAGTTCTTTTAGAAATCATCTCACTGTTTTCTGCAGAGTGTGAACTAGTTTACATTCCCAACAGCAGTGTAGAAGAGAAGCATTCCTTTTTCTCTGTATCTTTGCCAGCATCTGTTGTTTTTGTGTTATTAATGATGGCTATTCTTACTGGGGTTAGATGGTATCTCAAGGTGGTTTTGAATTGTGTTTCTCTGATGATTAGTGAGGTTGAGCATTTTTTCATGTGTCTGTTGGCTTCTCATACATCTTCTCTTGAGAAGTGTCTCTTCATGTCTTTTGCCAACTTTTTAATGGGGTTGTTTGTTTTTTCCTTTTGGCATGTTTTAGTTCTGTACAGATCCTAGATTTTAGGCCTTTATCAGATATACAGTTGGCAAATATATTTTCCCATTCTGTGGGCTGTTACCTTGCTCTCTTGATGGGTTCTTTTGCTTTGCAGAAGCTTTTCACTTTAGTAAGGTCCCATTTGTCTGTCTCATCTCTTATGGCATAGATATCTGGGGTTTTGATCAGGAATTGATTGCCTTCTCCAATTCCCATAAGGGTGTCTTGTGTGTTTTCTAAGATTCCTCTTCTTCTTCTTCTTCTTCTTTTTTTTTTCTGAGTAGCAGTCTCAATCTGTCACACAGGCTAGAGGAAAATGGCACACTCCCCGGCCACCACAGCCTCAACCTGCTGGGCTCAGGCAATCCTTCTGCCACAGCCTTCCAAGTAACTGGAACTATAGGCACACGCCACCATGCCTGGCTAATTTTTTGATTTATTGTAGTGATGGGGTCCCACCAAGTTGCCCAGGCTGATCTCAAACATGTGGGCTCAGGCAATCCTCTCACCCCGGCCTCCCAAAGTGCTGGAATTATAGGTGTCAGAGCAATTCTACCCCTAGACATACCTCCTAGAAACTCTTGGATGTGTGTACCAGGAGACACAATACTGGCTGTGTTCACAGCAATATAGTTTACATTAAGAAAAACCAAAAACAATCCAAATGGTTACTAACAGGAGAGTGAATAAACTGCAATATTTGTACAATGAAATACTATATAGTACTGAGAGTTGATGAATTAGCTGGACTAATCAATATGGCTAAAAAAACAAGTTCCAAGAGGACACAAAACTAAAACAACATAATGTGTAAGGTGATATGTATTTGTGGTAAAACTGGAGAAAAAATCAAGGGGATGATAAACACAAATCTCAACATATTGTTACCTTTGCAGAGAAGACAGAAGGCTCCCTCTGTCGCCCAGTTGCTAGGCTCCCGCAATCCTTTCACCTCAGCTTTCCAAGTAACTGGAACTAAAGGCATACACTACCACACCTGGCTAATTTTTTGATTTTACTGTAGAGACAAGGTCTTACCATGTTGCCCAGGCTGGTCTCAAACCCACGGGCTCGGGCAATCCTCTCGCTTCAACCTCCCAAAGTGCTGGAATTACAGGCTTGAGCCACCGTGTCCAGCCCTGAAACAGTTTTTAAATGACACATTAATAGGATAATTTGTAATTGAAAAGTACTTTTTAAAAAAGTACTTTTAAAAATACTCTTTTAAAAAAGATTATAATTAGTATCTTCAGGATATTAATTGAAAGTTTATTGCTACTAAAAATTGAAAGTACATTGTTACTAAAAAGAATAGGATGCCATGAGAAGGGAGCAGTCAGAAGACATGTAAGAGCTATTTAAAAAACTACAAATATGATTTCCTGAACTCAAAAATCCAGTATAAAGAATTGGAGGATAGATTTGATAAGGTTTCCCAGAAAACAAGGCAGAAAGACAAAGAAATAGTAAATGAGTAAAAGGGTAAGAAATCAATCCAAGAAATCTCATTTCAGTTAAGTGTTTGCTAGCAATAATAGCTACTAATTTTATAATATATCAGGCACTGTTCTAAGCAGTTTGCCTATATTGATTCATTCATTTCTCCCAATGAGGTCATCTTATTATTCCTACTTTTTTAGGTGATGAAACTATGGCACAGAGTGGTTAATAAACTTGCCCAAAGATATAGCTGATAAGTAATAAAACTGGAATACGACATGAGGTAGTCCCAAATTCTGCAGGACTAAACAAAACATTATACTACCTCTAGTAACATGTTAAGGCTAAAATGTTTATATTTATGCATTTCTGAAAAATAATAACAGACGTAGCTTCCTAATTGGTCATTCTGTAATTAAGTTTTTATTTTGAAGCTAGGAGTCCTGTATTTGTCACCGTTGTGGAGCTTCAAAATTATAGTTTTGTGAAGTGGAGATCAAAGGGAGGCCCAGACTTTACCTGTGTGATTACCACTTGTATACTTAAATCTGAATTGTACCCCATATCTTTAAAATAAAAAAAATTTTTTAAAGAAATTACAGTTTCAGCTAAGTTTTGCCTTAAGTGACAAACATAATGGAGAACATATATTATTTTTATATTTAATTAAAACAACTTTTTAAACTAATTTATTAGTATTATTTTGACATTGTTTTTATTACAATATTGATAGAAATAATATTTAAGTTATACAATGCATATCTTCAAGTTATGTATTAGAATTTTGCAATTGCTATATCTTGGTAATATTATATTTCTAGGGTTATCTTGAAGAACTCTTACGACTTCGAGAAAACCAATTATCTGAATCTGTCTCCCAGAATAAAATACTACTTCAAAGAATTGAAGATTCTGATCTGGCCCATAAATTGGAGAAGGAACAATTAGAATATATAATTGTGGAACTTCAAGATCAGCTGTAAGTAAGATCCTTTAGAAAAGTTTTGGTTTTATGTGAACATTAAAAAAAAATGTTGCATTTTGACATAAGATGCAAATTGCAAGAAATCTATTTGCCTGCTATAAAATTCTTTTCCTCTTACTCTTTTTTAAAAATTTGGTTTTCTTATTACAAAAGTAATCCATGTTGATTGCAGAAACATTAGAAAATACAAGAAGAAAATAGAAATCACCTTTAGTTGTGCTACCCAGAGTTAACTGGTTATAACTTGGTGTATATTCTTTCAAGTGGATATACATACTTTTTAAAGTATTTAGTTACTTTGTTATAGATTGACTGATAGATTATAAAACAATGGTATTTTAGACTAGTGCTACTCAAAGCGCATTGTTGGTGTATTAGCTGTTTTGTTACCAGGTTGTGCCAGAAAGTCACTGAGCATAGTTTGGTACAGCTAACGAGTGTGTGTGTGTGTGTGTGTGTGTGTGTGTGTGTGTGTGTGTGTGTGTGTAGCAAGACTTTTTTTGACGAAGAAACCTGTATAATGAGCTGCATTCTGGTACAAGCTCCTTAACCTGTCACTGTTCAAAGCACTTGTACTAATTATGTTTTGTCAATTTTGCTCTTATCAGTTAATTGTTTATGGTGAACATTTTCACACATTAATATTTATTTAATCCCGAAGGAGGAGTTTTAAATTTTTTATTTTGAAATAATCTCAAACTTTCAGAAAATTCCAAGGTAGTACAAAAAATTCCCATATGACTTTTCCTAGATTCGCTCATTTTAAACATTTGCCACATTTGCCTTATAATTCTCTCTTACCCCCCACACACTTGAGAGGTTGCACCTATTATACCCTTTTATGCCTTAGTATATCAGTGCCTTTCTTAAGCACAAAGATCTTATATAATCATAGTTCAATTATCAATTTAAGAAATTTAAATGGATACAATACTTTCATTTATAATTTATATTCCAGTTTTGTCAATTGTCCAAATAACGTCTCTTATTGCACCCTTTGTTTCTCTAATACTGACTGTATTCAAGTTAAGATCATGTTTTGCATTTGACTGTTGGTATCTTCAGTCACTTTAAGATTTATATTTCTGAATAATTCAGGCTTATAATTTTATAGAATGTCTTTTAATTTGTGTTTGCTTGTGAGCGGAATGAAGTTTTCCATTTTTGACTGGAATACAGCATAAGTGATATGTTGTCTTAAGGATATGATACCTAAAGGCACATAAAATCTCTTGGCCCTTTATTAGTGATAGTAATTTTGACCATTTGGTTAAGGTGTTTTTCTCTTCTATAGAGTTACTGTTGTTCCTTTTGTAATTAACATGTAATTTTTAAGGAGTTACTTTGAGACTAAATAAATATAAAAATGATTTTTAAGTAAAAATGTTTTATTAAGAAACAAAAAATTAATATCTTCTAGAAATTTGTATCTTAATAAAAAGAATTATGTTCACATATTGTTTCTTTTATTTTTTCTGCTATCATAAAGTGATTTTGTTATATGGGGTATCACTCGTTGGGCAACAGGTTAACACATTCCATAACTCCTTATTTCCATTAAGCAGAGAGAAAAATACAAGAGCCCAAAATAGAGATTTTTGATTATTTCTTTATAATTAAAAGAATTAAGAAGCTAATTTATTTTTTAGTACCCGGACCTTTTCTGGCAAGGAAGATAATTTTATTTTTCTTTTGCAAGAAACACTGCTACTTCATCTAAGTGTTTTTAACTTGGAAAATAATTATGAAATCAGTTTTTATTTTATTAAAGGGATATTTTATTTGAAGAGTTCAAGTTGAATAGATCGCATTTATTTTTCTTTTGAGTGTCTATTTATTTATTTATTTATTTTTCAGTGATAGTATCACTCTGTTACCCAGTGTTACTCAGACTGTAGTACAGTGTCACACTCACAGCCACCATAGCCTTAACCTTCTGGTCTCAGGTGATCCTTCCACCTCAGCCTTACAAGTTGCTGGGACTCACAGGCACGAGCTACCACACCTGGCTAATTTTTTTTTTAATTGTAGAGGTGAGGTTTTTAATTGCAAGTTGACCTGGCTGGTCTTGAACCCTCTGGATTTAGGAAATCCTCTCGCCTTGACCTTCCAAAGTGCTAGAATTACATGCATGAGCAACTGCACCCAGTTATTTTTCTTTTGATAATTTAAAGGAAACAAAGACTCTCAATCTTTTTAATTGGAGAAAATCTACCTGAGTTATGGTTTTATTATGCTTCTGTGATATAGGAGTATCATTTATCCTCTTCATTTTGCAATGCAATTGTTTTTAATACCTTTCAGTTGTTTTTAATACCTTTAAGGAGATTTTAACTAAAACAATATTACTAGAGAAACAAATAAAAATTGATGGCCACAGATCAGAATTAAACTATTTTCTTGAGTTTAGAGGTTAAAGATTTGCTTTCACACAATGAGGCTACAATTTCTAGATACATACAAATTGGTGTCTTTTGTACAAAAAACATGTTCAAGGGTACTGTGCAGGAGAGTAAGATAAATCACTTTGTGAATGTTAGCAGTTCACTACTTTTTCAGAGTCAGTGTTAATAGATGCAGAATATTGTGAGCATTTTTGCAGCTATAGAGAGAGAATAAACATGTTTTTCTCCTTATGTTGCTTTTTTTTTTTTAATCAACAATTTGGAAGGCCTGGAGTCAGAGCTGGACACTGAAATTCCTTTCGTTAATTCTAAGAAGATAAATTCTAAGAAGTGGCCCTGAGAAAATTAAAATTTATATTGTATAAATGAAAAAGTCAGGAAAGGAATATTAACAGGTAGAATATGAAGCATGTAATGCTTGCTTCTACGTTGTGTTGGTTATCTTTTCTTGAGTAATTTAAATCCTGAGTGCTTAACTTATTCTTTCTATATAATTTTTAATGGTTATATCTATTTTTAACTACCGTTAAAGTATTAATTGAATATTTATTCAAATACTCACAAAGTCTGAACATTTTATAGTTTGGGCAGTAGAGTCTAAGTTCGTGTGGAGTAGCAAAGTATCATCCTAAAGGTGTCTTGCAAATCAGGACTGTGTTCAGATAACGGTTCTGCACTTACCAGTTGTAAGCCCAGTGTTAGATTGATGTTTTGAGCCTTTGTTTCTTCATCAATAGAATAAAGATGACATTCACCTTGTAGACAATTATGAATATTAAATTATATCCAATACATGTAGGAAAAAATGCATTCAAAGAATGTGTATTCCTCTGCTTTTGTTTATAGAAACCTTAACATCACCACAATAAACTCACTTAGAAAGATAAGTTAGAAAGTTAAATCCTTGTCATGTGAGAATGCTGTGGATCAAACAATGAATTTGAACTTGATTTTGTTGTCCCTGAGTTCCAAGAAATTCACTTTTAAGTTCTAATCTCTAAATGGCAGTTGGATTAATGTTTAAAATCATAGTACATATTTGTATATACCGTGTGTCGGAGGGAGACATACATGTTTACTACTTAACAGGTACCACTTGTAACTGTAATTCTTTTTTTTTTTACTTATGTTTAATACAGTACTAATTTGGAAGATTTCACAAGTCACTGACAAAGATACATTTGAATGATTAAGTTTATAGTTGGTAGAGATTTAAAATATCAAACCATTTTACATCTGTAAATATTATTAGGAATAATGCTATCATTTCATTGGGAGATATAACATAGTTGTAGGTTTTGCTTCTTATACTTTTATAGAAAATCTGTGAAACAGGCAACTCCTTCAGGTTCGCTCCTGCTCTGGGAGATTTTCTGTCCTCGATAAATCCTGCTTTCTCATCAAAAAGAAGAAATGAAAAAGAAATCTGTGGAACAGCTTGATTTATCTTGCTTCAGTAACTTCTTTAACCCTGTTTAATTTGTTTTTTAATTTTTATTTTAGAATCATGGGGTACACATGCATGTTCGTTACATGGACATATCATATAGTGGTAGGAATTTGGTCTCAGGTGGCCCATTCCTTAGATAGTGAACATTACGCCCTATGGGTACTTTCTGACCCACCTCCCAGCCCACCTCCCCTCTCCCCTTGTAGGTGTCCCTAGTGTATATTATTTCCATCTTTGTGAACATTTAGCTCCCATGTATGAGTGGGAACATGCGGTGTTTGGTTTTCTGTTTCTGCGTCTTACTTACTTAGGATGATGATCTCCAGCTATATCCATGTTGCTGTAAAGAACATTATTTCATTCTTTTGTAGTAGTATTCCGTGGTGTCTGTAGACCACATTTTCGCTATTCACTCATCGTTTGATGGGCATTTAGGTTGATTCCACAACTTTGCAATTGTGAATTGTGCTGGGATGAACATGTGGGTACAGTTCTTTTTTATATAATGATTTCTGTTTATTAGGATAGACACCTGGTATTGGGATTGCTGTTTCAAATGGTAAATCTACTTTTAGTTCTTTGAGTAATCTCCATACCGTTTCCCATAGAGGGTGGACTAATTTACATTCCCACCAATGGTATATAAGTGTTCCCTTTTCTCTGCATCTGTGCCGGCATCTATTGTTTTTTGTTTTTTAAATAATGGCCATTCTGATTATGCATTTCTCTGATTATTAATGATGTTGAACTTTTTAATATGTTTGTTGGCCATTTGTATATCTTTTTTTGAGAGATGTCTATTCATGTCGTATGCCCACTTTTAAATGGGGTTATTTGCTTTTTTATTTCTGATTTCTTTGACTTCTTTGTAGATTCTGGATATTAGTCCTTTGACAGATGTATAGTTTGTGAATATCTTCTCCTACTATGTAGGTTGCCTGTTTCTCTGTTGATTATTTCTTTTGCTGTGCAGAAGTCTTTTAGTTTAATTATGTCTCATTTATTTATTCTTGTTTTAGTTGCATTTGCTTTTAGGGTTGTAACCATAAATTCCTTGCCTAGGCTGATGTCCATAAGAGATTTTCCTAGGTTTTCTTCTTGAATTCGTATGGTTTCAGATCTGATATTTAAGTCTTTAA